TCAATTAAATATTTTTAATTGACGATTAAGAAAGATTAAATAGATTTCGTTACAATGACGATTGATATAAACTAGATTAATCGAAGATCGTTTAATTAACAATTAATATGATCGAAGTCAATTAAAGATTATTTAATTGACAATTGATATAAACGAAATTAATCGGAGAACGATCGATTAACAATTAATACAAGCTAATTTAATTAAAAGTTTTTTAATTAACGATTGATATGAGTTAATTTTAATTAGATGTACTTTAATTGACGATTGAAAAAAACAGATTCAATCGAAGACAATTCAATTGACAATTGATTTGAGTAGAAACAATTAAAAAATATTTAATTGACGATTAAATATAGCAAATTTAATGCAAATCTCTTCCATTAATGATTGACTTAAGAAAATCGATATAATTTCTTTATTTCCATTAATTAACATGTGTAACGATTAATACAATTTAAATTTTAATCGAAGATGTTTGATTGATGATATTAATATGACTGAATTTCAATAATATATATCTTTTCCTTGGTTCTAGCAAAGTTATTGTACGTAATAGTTACAATATAAATAATAAATAATTTACGTTTTTAAACCATATTTTTATTCAGAACATTTTCAATTCTCTCTCTCTCTCTCTCATTATACATTTTATTATATTTAATTTAATTATATTTAATGTTAATATATATTTCTCGAATTTTTTTTCATTTGTTCTAAAATAATAAATGTATAATATGTTATAATAAAATGTGTTGTACATATATATATACAATATATATTATAATTCAAAATTATTAATCAAATGTAAATATTGCAGGAAGTTTGGTAATACAACGAAGTGTAACCATACAGTTTCCTTCTGGAGAACATTTCTGCATTCAACTAGGTAACCATTTCACAATGTTTTTACATATTACATTCAAATTTTTTATTTATTATAAATAAATTATTAGAGAGAAAGATTGAAAAATATTGAATAACATAATTAGAATACGCTGTATATAAATATTTATTTAAATGGTCTTGTTTTAAAATTGTATTATATTTAAATGCTTAGAATGTATATATTTTGTTATTATGTATTTATTTATATATTTATATTTTTTTATATTGAAAAGATTCATTTTTCTTTTTCCTTTTTTTAAATTAATAAATTTATTAAATATTTGTTTGCCAATTAAACAAAAATGTAATCGTACACCAGCAATTACTTTTCAAAATATTATTTTTCTTGTGTGTGAATAGTTTCATATAATATCTGGATTGCAAATATATATTGTTAATAATAATAGTTTTGTTGCATATCTATTATGCATATAATTTGGAAATAATATAATTTAATAATTAAAAATTGCAAACAGACTAATATATTCACATATTTATATTTATTATATTATATCTGCACATATTCATATTGATGAGATAATTGTTTATTATATAAAATCATGTGCGTGATAATTAAATATTTTCTATGCAATCAAATTAATAAGGAATATAATGATTTAACATGATTATATTCTAAATCTGTTGGTGAAAACGTTACGTGTAACAAATATATACAATTAAAGTTATTAAAATTTTATTATTTTTGTAAAATATCATTTACTTTGTAGAATACTTGAAAATATTACAATTCTATTTCTTAATAATAAATTAATTAAATTTAATAAAGGAAATAAAACATTTTATCGCGTGTTCTGATATTGGACTTATTAACCATAGCGTGTAATTAAATATTATAGGTCTACGCTTATTGTGATAAAGCTATTTGATTGTTAATTGAGGGAAATATAACCTAAGAGCTTTGGGCATTCACATTCCACAGTAATCAAAGAGTTAGGATTATCAATTTTCTTTAAGGTAACGTATTGATAGTTTGTTCATTACTTGTCATAATGCAAATACAATTTGACTTTATCACTTTATAATTATTAAAAATCGTTTTAGAGTGAATCTTGTGTAACAAGCTTTTTTTGGTTTTCTTCGGAATTTTTTATAAAGAACTCATAAATGTTTTGTATATGTAGAAAAATTTTATTTTAAAAAAGGTAAAAAAAGTTGTTAAGTCCGCGTCAAAAACTATATCTCCAAAATCTTACAGAATCTTAAAACATATCTAAAAATTGCGCTAAGCAAAAATAAAACCTTATTAAAATATTTTAATTTAAAAAAGTTGCACAAAATAGTTGTTTTAATTTCTTATAAAAATAATGAATTTAAAATACATACTGACATTAAAACTTGGGACAAAAAAGATATAAACATTACAAACTTGCGACAAGAAGAAATAAAAAAACATTAAAAATTTGCGAAAGAAAGTAGAACAATTTAATTTAAAAACTTAGCACTGCTAAGCTAAACAATAATTTAACAATTGTAATTGTTGTATTATACTATACAATTGAAATTTTAATTGAAGTAATATGCAATAATGACATTAGCAATGCTAAGTTTTTAAATTAATTTTTTTGTCGCAAGTCTTTAATGTTTATATTTTGTTATCGCAAGTTTTTAATGTCATTATATAATTTAAATACATTATTTTTCAGATATGTTTTAAGATTCTGTAAGATTTTGAAGATATAGTTTTTGACGCGGACTTAACATCTTTTTTTACCTTTTTTAAAATGAAATTTTTTGTACATATACATTTATGAGTTCTTTATAAAAAATTCCGAAGAAAACCAAAAAAAGGTTGTTACACAAGATTCACTCTAAAACGATTTTTAATAATTATAAAGTGATAAAGTCAAATTGTATTTGCATTATGACAAGTAATGAACAAACTATCAATACGTTACCTTAAAGAAAATTGATAATCCTAACTCTTTGATTACTGTGGAATGTGAATGTCCAAAGCTCTTAGGTTATATTTCCGTCAATTAACAATCAAAGAGCTTTATCACAATAAGCGTAGACCTATAATATTTAATTACACGCTATGGTTAATAAGTCCAATATCAGAACACGATAAAATGTTTTATTTCCTTTATTAAATTTAATTAATTTATTATTAAGAAATAGAATTGTAATATTTTCAAGTATTCTACAAAGTAAATGATATTTTACAAAAATAATAAAATTTTAATATAATAACTTTAATTGTATATATTTGTTACACGTAACGTTTTCACCAACAGATTTAGAATATAATTATATTAAATCATTATATTCCTTATTAATTTGATTGCATAGAAAATATTTAATTATCACGCACATGATTTTATATAATAAGCAATTATCTCATCAATATGAATATATGCAGATATAATATAATAAATATAAATATGTAAATATATTACTCTGTTTGCAATTTTTAATTATTAAATTATATTATTTCCAAATTATATGAATAATAGATATGCAACAAAACTATTATTATTAACAATATATATTTGCATTCCAGATATTATATATAAAACTATTCACACACAAGAAAAATAATATTTTGAAAAGTAATTGCTGGTGTACGATTACATTTTTGTTTAATTGGCAAACAAATATTTAATAAAATTTATTAATTTAAAAAAAGGAAAAAGAAAAATGAATCTTTTCAATATAAAAAAAAAAAAATATATAAATAAATAGATAATAACAAAATATATATAATACATTCTAAGCATTTAAATAATAATACAATTTTAAAACAAGACCATTTATATACATATTTATATACAACGTATTCTAATTATGTTATTCAATATTTTTCAATATTTTTCTCTAATAATTTATTTATAATAAATAAACACAATTTGAATGTAATATGTAAAAACATTGTGAAATGGTTACCTAGTTGAATGCAGAAATGTTCTCCAGAAGGAAACTGTATGGTTACACTTCGTTGTATTACCAAACTTCCTGCAATATTTACATTTGATTAATAATTTTGAATTATAATATATATGTATATATGTACAACACATTTTATTATAACATATTATACATTTATTATTTTAGAACAAATGAAAAAAATTTGAGAAATATATATTAACATTAAATATAATTAAATTAAATATAATAAAATGTATAATGAATTGAAAATGTTCTGAATAAAAATATGGTTTAAAAAACGTAAATTATTTATTATTTACATTGTAACTATTACGTACAATAACTTTGCTAGAATCAAGGAAAAGATATATATTATTTAAATTCAGTCATATTAATATCATCAATCAAACATCTTCGATTAAAATTTAAATTGTATTAATCGTTACACATTGTTAATTAATGGAAATAGAGAAATTATATCGATTTTCTTAAGTCAATCATTAATGGAAGAGATTCGCATTAAATTTGCTATATTTAATCGTCAATTAAATATTTTTAATTGTTTCTGCTCAAATCAATTGTCAATTGAATTGTCTTCGATTGAATCTGTTTTTTTCAATCGTCAATTAAAGAACTTCTAATTAAAATTAACTCATATTAATCGTTAATTAAAAAACTTTTAATTAAATTAGCTTGTATTAATTGTTAGTCGATCGTTCTCCGATTAATTTCGTTTATATCAATTGTCAATTAAATAATCTTTAATTGACTTCGATCATATTAATTGTTAATTAAACGATCTTCGATTAATCTAGCTTATATCAATTTAATTAAATTAAAATTTAACTAACCTCTATGATAGTCGGCGGCAACGGGGACGGCGGCGACGGGGCCGGCGGCACGGGCTCGGCGGCGATCGGCGGATGTGGTCGGCTTCATTCATCTGTATCTGAAATGTATAAAGAGTATTAGTTTTTTATAATAAAAAATAATAGTATTTTATAATGATAATGAAAAATAATATACTTACATCTGCCATTTCGGTGTTTGAGTATATCTGGAATTATAATAAAATGAAATAAGATCTGGATATTTCGAACACCTGATATAACGAGTCGATGCGCGTAAACAAGTTTTTATGCGCGAACGACAAGAGTAATATTAAAGTACGTCCGAAATATATCTATTGCAAAACTATATGTAAAATCATAATTATAATCATGGAATCAATAAATAAGATGCGAATATCTCAAAAATTCACGAAAAGATCCCGAAAAGTTCATAAAAATGACAATGTTCCGTCGCTTAATGCTAGTCGTTCTCGCGAAATAAATTATTAATTAATAATAAACGAACTTAATTGCTGACTACTAATTAACTGATTCTACATTTCATTATAGACGATGATGATGTTAGAACGATAGTTTACAGAATCTTATATGTATAGGACTTACCGAAGTTAGTTGCTGAGATGTCAGTCTTCTCACGACCACAAACTGATTAGACCACAGGCTGCGCGACAGGGGTGCGTAATCGTACGGCTTGTATTTAGAATAATATGCTCGATGCCACGCGTTTCACACGTGTTGTTCTTGGCCGCGTGTTCATATCATCGATGTTTTCGACAATTTTCGGTGCGACGAAATAATCGCTGCTTTAATCAGGTAATGATTTTATATTGTACGTATCAAAATATTTATTATAAATAAATTTGTGAATATGTTGATGAAGTTAATGTGTAAAGTTATAAGATAATTAATTCTTTATATATTTGGATTATAATTAAATATTAATTTTATAATAGTACAGACACACACACACACACACACACACACACACACACACACACACTCACGCGCGCTTATGTCCGTGTGTTGATACGTATATCTATATTCTTTAATTAATATTTAAATTTATATTGTACATATGCAGAATATATATGCAGGATATCACAGAATTAGTAGTAAACCTGTTAATGGAAGATTCTTGAGATAATTGGGAGACGATTTTGCTTCTAACTATATTGATATATAAATTATAAACTATATAGTTTTTTTCAAAAATTTTGATTTTTCTCAATATTTTATATACAAAATTTTTGAAACAAGATCGACGAAAAATTAATATTTTATGAGATACTTACGTTCATGCAAAATAATGTGTTAAAGATGTAAAATACCCTGTTAAATATTCTCTTTGTGATTATCTTATTCTTACAACTTATTGTTTTAATAATTATATTTCACTTTTACGCGATATTTTTATTCTTTTTATTATTCCCCTTATTTCTATATGTGTATATCGTCTATAATTCTTATATATGTGTATATCGTCTATAATTCTTATAATTTCTTTTTTTTAATTGCATCTTTTGCTATTTTTATTTGTTTTCGAATTATTACCCTGTATACATATATATATATATATATATATATATATATCTGTTTTAACGAAGGCAATGAAATATCACGAAAGGCTCGAAGAAATACAGAAAGCTTTTGAGAACGTTGCTGAATTAATCGAGAAGCGCGAAAATGATCTGAAAACAGCAGACAGAGACAAATCCGATGACGATGAACTGGATTGTAATCCGATAGAAGCTGACGACGCGATGAAAGATCTGGAAGATTTTGGTAAGATTGACGACCCGATTGATTTATCGCAAATGATGTCGCAATTGAACGAAGACCAGAAAAGAGTCTTTGATGGAGTATGCGAAGTTTTACAAGATAAGAATCAGATTCTGCGACTGTACGTAAGTGGCGAGGGTGGTACAGGAAAAGTTTCTAATTGAAACGATTAAACATTGGATCAGAATAAATTTGGAAAAAACGACTGCCATATCTGCTCCCACGGGTATCGCAGCATTCAATATCGATGGCTTGACAATCCATAGAATGTTTCAACTACCCGTTAGTCATGAATCTACACCAAAATATACGCAATTGTCAGACATGGTCTTGAAAACTTTGAGAGACAAATTAAAGAATGTCGAATTATTTATAATCGATGAAGTATCCATGATTTCAAATGTGACACTTATGTTTATCAATCTACGATTATGTGAAATCTTTGATACGACAGATACAGATGATGGTTTCTTTGGCAGAAAACACATTCTCCTGTTTGGGGACTTGTTGCAGCTTCCTCCTGTAAAAGGACAATTTTCGTTTGTTAAAATGTCTCGATCAGAGATTCAGAAGTATTTAGGTACCATGGGTGGATGTGATTTGTGGAGATTGTTCGAGTACGACGAACTTTTGATTAATATGCGACAAAGATGCGACAATACATATCGTGATATACTTTCTAGAATACGAATAGGTTTAGTAACGGATTCTGACATCAATGTTCTTCAGTCTAGAAAAATCAATTTTAAAGAAAGTAGTTGCGACAAAAGATTGAATGAACTTTGCAATTATATGAATCAATTACCGATTGATACAATTTGTTTATTGCCCACGTGTTATTTGTGCAAGGTTTTGAACACAGCAATGCTCGATAAAATCGACAGCGATGAAATTCTGCTGATAGCAGAAGATGATGTCGACTGTGCTCCAGCAATGAAAAAAAAGGTGCATAAAATTTTGGAAGACAAAGATGATAAAGTGTCTGAAACAGCTGGCATTGAAAGAGTAATAGCGATTAAAATTGGCGCTAAAGTGATGATTCGACGAAACATTGACGTAACTTTGGGACTTGTCAATGGAACGATAGGCAATGTAGTTGCAGTTAATCGTTCTGCTGACGGCAATCGTATTGATTCCATCAAAATAGTTATTTCGGATAACAAAGAAATCGCAATAACGAAAGTAGATATTAAATTTGAAGTATTCCACAAATTAGTGGTACATCGGAAACAATTTCCATTGTCTCTCAGTTATGGAATAACTATACACAAAAGTCAAGGAATTACATGTAACAATGCAATGATGGATTTAGGAACGACTGTATTCAGTGATGGTCAAGCCTATGTAGGTTTGTCACGAGTAAGTAAATTGGAAGGCCTACATTTGATAAATTTCAATCCAGCATCAGTTAAAGCAAACTCGAGAGCCATTGTAGAATATAATCGACTGAGATCTATATTCAAATCTGAACTGCCACAAATCAATCCGTCCGAGAAAAAGGTTGTGAAAATGTACGATCGTCGATGGGCTATCCCTAATATCATTGATGATGTGCAGAATTATGATTGTGAGGAACCAGAAAGTATAGTTACGTGGAAAATATATGGCCTTTGCAATAACGATGCTGTTTCGTGTTACGCTAATGTAATATTACAATGCGCGTTTCATTGCGTACGTATTAGGCAACAAATACTGAAAAATAAAGCATCGAATGCATTGACTGATGCTATCTGCGCGTATGGTGAACGTAAATATTGCAACATTCAAGCGGTTAGAAGATCTGTCGGAAAACGCTTCGAAGAACGAACACAACAAGATGTTTCGGAATTTTTACGGCTCTAATGTCGACGTATTCCGACATCAATGATGTATTAGAACTCGAATTAAAGCACGTAACATGTTGCTCGAATGTCAAATGTAATTACAATGTAACTAAGCTGGAAAGCAGTAGTTTGTTAATATTACCTATACATTCGACATTAAAAAGGAAAAAAGGTGTCACTCTACAAAGTTTGATTAATGTAGAATTTTCTAAATGGGAAACGATAAACGGCAATTGTAACGAATGTAAGGGTACCGTGTTGAAAAGGAAAACCGTAATCGAATCAACTTTATCCGTCGTAGTAATACAGCTCAATTTATATACTTTTGTAAACGGTGCTTCCAAAAAAATTATCAACAATCGGATTAACGCCGTGCCGACGAGTAATATCACGATTAATAAAAAAAAGTACAAGGTAATAAGCGCTATATTTCACGAAGGTGAAGAAATGAATCGTGGTCACTACACGTGTATGTTGAGAGCCGACACAAAATCGGAATGGTATTACTCTAATGATATGGAAGTGTTCAAGAAAAAATGGCCCAAAGGAGCACAAGGGGCATACATATTGTTCTTAGAACAGATTAAATAATGGCGCTGTATAAAGGCTGCCGTAAACGCTACATCAAAACATCAACTGTTCTAGCGCTGTATAAAAGTTGCCGTAAGCGCCAAATAAAATATCGGCTGCTCTGGCGCTTTATAAAAGCTGCTGTAAGCGCTGCATTAAAACGAGTGCAATAAGGTTCTAATTTGACCTAGGCTTCATGACATTTCAAAAAGTATCATGAAGAAAAAAATTATCAGACAGAAATATGTATGTCGTGTTAAAATCGGAGAGACGAAGAAAAATATATGGTTGCGTTCTCACGAGAATGGGCGATGGAGGGGCCCATTCTTTATTTTCAATATTCATACAATAATATAAATTCATTCTGTTGCAATTGAAATAAATGTGCAACGTATCGTTAAAAGTTATTACAATTATACAAACATTTACATATATGATTAAATAAAATATATATGTATACTATAATATAATTATATATTTTATATATGTACATATATACCATATATTTCAATTATTTTGAACCGTATTGCATAAATTGTTACTTATACAAAGTTATGTGATAAGAATCGAAAATATGTCGTGTTAAAATCGGAGAGACGAAGAAAGAAAATATATGGTTGCGTTCTCACGAGAATGGGCGATGGAGGGGCCCATTCTTTATTTTCAATATTCATACAAGAATATAAATTCATTCTGTTGCAATTGAAATAAATGTGCAATGTATCGTTAAAAGTTATTACAATTATACAAACATTTACATATATGATTAAATAAAATATATGTATACTATAATATAATTATATATTTTATATATGTACAAATATACCATATATTTCAATTATTTTGAACTGTATTGCATAAATTGTTACTTATACAAAGTTATGTGATAAGAATCGAAAATACATATATTTAATACTTGAATTACTAAAAAGCTGCTCTATATATCTGTACTTTAAAAAGTAAGTGATATCCTAAAAAAATCATAAAAATGAAAAGGTCAGGCCATGTTCAAAAGAAGGTACTCAAAAATTTAAACGATCTAATAATAAATTATCACGAAAAGTAACTGATATGTTATTCAAGGTGCCAGTTCAAAGTGAACATACGTAAAGTGTATATTATCTAAATTTAGTAATAATATATACCATGAAAAGTAACTGTGATATTTTATTCAAGGTGCAAGTTCACATTGAATATACATACATATAAGTAAAACTGATTACAATTTGATTCTAGAAAATAAGTGCGATATGTTATTCTTAGTGCACAAAATATAATAGTCGTTTATAGAGATTTGATTTGAAATTCATACTAGCCCGTACAATGAAAAATAATTGCTCGTAATTCCAGAGTACCAATTTGTTAATGACTCAGAAAAATAACATGGCGGCCTGCTCTCAAAAACTTTCGATGGGTAGAATAAATAATTGAAATAAGAGTTGTGAAAATTGTATAAATTAAAAACCTCCAATCTTTCTTTAGTAAAATTTCGAATTTTCGTATCAACTTCCGATTTGTGTTATACCGTATTTTCAGGGAGTAAGTTATTGATCAGAAAACTTTGCCTTGTTGCTCGAAACGGGTGTGTATTAAGTAAAATTTATAAATCATTTTTATCATAAATAAAATCATTTCTATCATAAA